TGTTCTTTTCATTGTCAGATATGTGCTTGTTTTTTTGCTTGTCTTCACAGAATGCTTAAGTGATGGAATGTTTTATATTTGAATTTACTCAGTTCACAGGATAAGTTAATGCCTTGTCACCAATCCACCAAATGAAAACAGAACCAAGCGAGTAGTCAGCAGTAATCACCAAAATGCGCACATAAGGGGGAAAAACAAACCTTGTTGCCTATGTAGCCCATAACACCAACACCAACAGTAGACACATTTAAGTTTTGGATGTGCTTTCGCAAGTGTCTACGAACCCATATACTGAGAGAAATTCCGACCATTTGCTTGCTTACTATCCTTGCATATGGAGGTCTTCTTTTACGATACATGAGGGAATCAAGGTCAAGTTCTGTGAGCAAAGCTGCCTCCAATGGCACTCTATTATCACCATTTTTAAATGAGTTGAAAGAACTATATGTCCTGAAAGATTTGAATGATTTGATGGATTAAAGGAATTAGGTCTGTCCAAAACACGCTGAGCCAGCAGATCCAGCGGTGGCTCTGGCCAACTTAAACCAATCCTTTCTGTCCCACTTAATGTCTTTGTTAGAACCTTACTAAATTGGGAAACTGATGTTTCTACATTTTCTGTACAATCCTCAGTCCGAAAGCAGTTCAACCTGTCCAGCTTCTTGGGAGAAGAAAACTGTCTCTGCAACTCAGATTCAATTGGCATGCCTAAGTTGGCATCATTGCTGGAGACTGGAGTTTCAGCACTCATAAAAACATTTTCTCCTGTGGCTGATCCATCCTGGACTTCATCAAAACAATTGCTTTCTTCATTTATTGGATACATTTCCTCCTCACCATCACTATCAGTTTCAAGTAATATTTCATTTTCTATATCTGGGGCATCCTCAGATGGCTTGAACCTTGATGGAGAAGGAGGATCACTGTAGCATTTAAATTTATTATTTGCAGGTTGGATTTTATTAAGAGTTTCGCGAATGATATTTTCCCACTTTGGAACTGGTCGGCTATCTTCCGCACCAAAGATATTTCCAGCATTTAATGGTATGATCTCCTGAAAACTGTAATATAAAGGGAGTGAAGTTACTATGGAAAGAACAAAGGATATAATCAACATAGAGTTAATAACACTAATACATAGAAGAGGATACACATGCTTACAAATTTATTTAAACTTAAGGATGAGAACAAGAAAACCTATCATAAATTATATTCACAAAATGAACGCCAAAAGCTGATAGTAAGGAAAATAAGATCAATCAAAGCAAACTATATGCAGAAACAAAGTGAAGAATTGCTACTAAAAAAGATACTGCACCCCAATGCGACTGTACTCCCCAGGCGGGATACTTAACTCATTTGAACTCAGAACACTTACCCTATCACATAAATATCAGCAGGCTCAGTGGAATCTAGCCAACCTTCAATATCTAGGTCATCCGGTGGAAGTTTACCTCCAACATTCCACGTGCCAACACATATTCTATCATCACAAAAGACAACAGAAAAAGACAAGCTTCCAACATTACGACCAGATATACAAGTGATACTTATACTAGCCAAACTGTACCAATCAGCTCATATGATCAATACAAGGGAAGCAGCAAGCAAAAGCCAACATGCCTAAGTTCTTTTGAGTTGATATACTGTGCCCTAAATGTCTCCGACCTCCGTCTTCTTGTTCTGGGAAGAGCATCTGACATTCAAAAAATAAAAGGACCACCATGTTGTTGAACTGAATCATGAAAATTGCATTTAAGTTGTCAGAGACACTAGTTTCATTAACAGAAGGAACTAAAATTGGAAAGCTAGAAACTATAAAAGCCTTTGAATTTTGCAAGAAGGCAGCATACAATTATTTCGCCCATGGATCATTTGGAAGCTTGCAAGGGAATGGTATGATAAATCATAAGTTCCAAAGCAATGGATAAAATTGCCAAAATATAGAGTTAGTTGCCCAATATCAAACAAAACATTTCCCATGTGACATAAAGTGATTAACCACGTACACACTTTTATTCAAAGAAAAAGAAAAATCGACACCACAATGATCAATTCCAGTATGGCTTGAGATTTTTTCATAGCTTCCACCAATCACCATTACAATATTCAGCATGCAATTCAAGAGTCAATGTCTAACAAAACTTGAAGTCCAATTCGATGTATAGAGTATATTTTATGCTTATCCGCCCAATTTGTCCCACTTATTTATCATAGAGTCGGTTGTCAATAATTGCCTTACAAGAAGAATAGTACAGCAACAGTTCAAACTCCAAATCTTTGGTTTTACCAGTGACCTTCTATAACCTAAAAAGGGCATATCAAAACTTGATCACGGTAAGTGATTAGGGCTTCTTTTCCAACTTATGGCACTCAAAGTTCACCAAAACAAGTAAATTTCTCTCACATGAAAGAAAAATCCATAATTCGAACTTTAAATAGCAGCACACATTACCGTTAGTATCAATCTGAGCTTCATTGCTTTTATCATTCTTGAATCGCGATTCTCTAGGCCAGTGACGATGTTCTACAAAAACCCATTTCACATTCAAACTTAAACTCTTAAAAATTCCTTCAATCATAAGCACGAAGCATTGGGAACACCATCACATAACCGCTTAAACGAAACATAAATATATTTTCAATGCATCTGAAACTGCGCAAATTCCGAAAATTCGAAAACCCTTGGGTTAATGCCGAATCTGACCTTCGGCATCGGAATCATCGTTGTCATCATCGTCGGGGTCGGCACTGTAATCGGAGTCCTTGGTGTTGATATTGAGCCATTTGCGCATGACAATCCTCGGCCAGAAAAGCTGTAGGCATGTGCAACCGAAACACAATATTTCAGCCCAACTTCTCTTCAATTCTTATTAAGTCATCCAAAAATAAAGCCGAGAGAAAAACAGAAAAAAAAAAAAGAACCATAAACTAGCTCAAAGTTTTTCTAGAGAGAGAAAGAGTAGTACCGCTGGTTTTTGGCCTTTTGATCGAGTCTTCATGTTTAGCTGAGAACAAAAGCTAGAGAGAAAGTGTGAACAGAGGACACAGAGCTCTGAAAATGGTGGTTGTTGATGAAGCAGAGGAGTCCGGAGGTTAACGAGTAACGACCTTTGGTGGGAAAATAACGGTAATGAGCTCTGGCATGATCATTGAGAGTTGATGTTATTTATCAAGAGGGTCTTAACTTCTATTAATTACAGTTTATACCCCCTAAAAAAAACTTGGGCACCAAATCCTTGCGGCTGCGTAGCCTCGGAAGTACTCGAATTCTTAACGCTCCAATCACGACAAACCAAGAATCATGCCCCTCTTTTTTTTTTCACTTCTCTATTGAGACCACACATGCAGGTCATTACAAAGTTTTTCTCTCTCTCTCTCTCTCTCTCTCTCTCTCTTTATATATATATATATATATGTATTGCTATTTCATTAAGGGGCAAAAGTCACGGTCGACAAGGAGTAGGTGATAGAGATATGAACCTTTTGTGACAAATAGCATGGTGACAGATCAAAGAATAACAATTGGCGTACAAATAACGAAAACTATTAGAGCTGTACTATTGTCTTTTTAAACGTGGATCAATGACTAGCTATTCAAAATCGACTAAAATAATAAGGATTTTAAGGTTGCGTTTCATAACGTTTTTAATTTTTAATTTAAAAAAAAATTAAAATTAAAATAGTTTTCGATTTTCGGCTTATAAAAAATAAAAATCAAAAATCTGTTTGGTTTATAAAAAAAAAAAAAGGAAAACAGTAGTCTCTCTATCTCTGGGTTCTTGTCCTATCACTCAACCCATTTTGAATAAAAAATCGCTCTTTCTCTTTACACGTTAGCAGCAAAAGTTTCCAAGAATCCCAAGTTTCCTGCTGCCTAACCTCCTATGAAATTTGATCTTGGTTAGGAGAGACTGTGTGAGTGAGAAACAGAGGGAGAGAGAGAGATTACTGGTTCACTTTCCTTTCTATCTCTACCCCTCTCCCCCCTCTCTAGATTTGCTCGTATGTGTAATTCTATGCAAACTACTGAGAGCTGAGACCAAAACATTGACAATAATTTGGTGGGTATTGAGCTATATATTCTAAGATCAGTATTGAGAAGGAATATGTTTGGTTATGAGTGTGATTGCTGGGATAATGTTTCTGAAATCCACCACTTTGAACCAAAACCCTTTGCTCTTCCATCACGTGTACCACAATGGCCTCAAGGTATGCCTTTGAATACCAATATTTTTTTATTTCCTAGTTCTTGTGTGAAGATAATCTTGAGGATGGAGGATGAGGGTTTAAATATCCACAAAAACAAGGAAAAAAATTCTGAAAACCCTAGATCTAAAAACTTACCTTGGTAAGAGAGACGAAGCAGCTGTGAACGACCTAGGTGAAGACGAGAGAGATGAAGCTGCTGGACGCTGAAGCTGTTGGAACGCCTGGAATGAAGCTCCTCTGTTGAACGTCTCTGCTGAACGAATAGACGAGAGATGACGGGATGAGGAAAGTTTGAGGGTTTAATTGTTGCTAGTAAGATTCGATGATAAGATCTCATTAAATGTCTTCCGGCCGTTTCCGTTTTTTTTTTTTTTTTTGAAACGAATTTTTTCCGTTTTTAAAATTTGAGACAATTTTAAAATAATTTTAATTAAAAAAAATTAAAACAGTTACTAAACGAGTTTAAATTTCAAATTTTTTAAAAAATTTAAAATCAAATCATTACCAAATGGACCCTAAATTTAAAAAAAAAAAAATCGGTAAATTTGGGGTATATAATGAAAATAAATTTTCAAACTATAATCCCAAAAGTCAAAAATAGACACACGAGCTAGGACAAGCATTTAAGTGCGTGGTCCTTGGATTTTACCAGGTAGGTACCCATTTAGAAATCACTGTCTTTCGGAGTTGACTTGGGTACCATAAAAAATATCTATATACCATATTTTATATTTATAACACTTGTGATTATTTATATCATATTTACGAATATTTTTAGACTATATTCAATAGAAACTTAAATTCTTATTTAAATTTGAGTAAAAAAAAAAGATTAAAAAGTTGATTTGGTATAAATCTTTCTAATAGAAAAAATTAAATTTAAAGGAAGGGAAATTTAAATTTAAATGAGGACAAATTTAAATTTAAAAAGAGTAAAATATGACAATTGAATCTTTAAAATGAGGTATAATCTCATCATTAAAGATTTGTGTATGAATTTAAATCTCTCTTAATTTGAGTAAAAAAATAATTTTTTCTTCATTTGATATGATTATGGGTTTAGTATTAGAGAAGATTTAAGAGCATTTTACACAAATTTAAATTTGGATTTAAAAAGACTTACCATTGTTGTGAAATCCAAAAAATAATAAAAATAATTATCACAATAATGATAAAAGCATCAATAAATATGCTAAAAACATCTACAAATATGATAAATTACTAAAAAAAAGAGATATTTTTTTTTGTTATAAAATAACTCACAAAAATTATAAAATTACCTATTAAAATAATAAAAATTAGAGATATGGTAATAAAAAATTTTTATTCGGTACAAGTCCCTTTCTTAATACTATCACTTGTGACAATTTCTGTCGTATTGATTAGGATTGTCAAACATGTCGGGTTAAACGGGTGAAAAATATATATATCCGTACACGACACGTTTAATAAACGAGTAAAAAATTTCAACACAAACACGACCCGTTTAATAAACGGGTAACACGACATTACTCGTTTAACCTGTTTAATTTAAAAAAATTATATTAACAAATTTTAATACTCAATTTTTTTTATTGTCAATTGCACTTACCTCAAAAAAGAAGATTTTTTAGTCAAATCTCATAAAAATAAGACTTGAAAGCCTAGAAAGAAAAAAATTAAGAGGTCTTTATTTTTTATAGGCAACTCAACCCTTCCTATCTTCCCTTATTTTTCAATGTGTGACAAATAAGACTTGAAGACTTAAAAAAAAAAGTAAGAGATCATTGTTTTTTTTTATAGACAACTCAACCCTCCATATCTCCCCTCATTTTCTAATTTGGGACAAATAAGACTTGAAGGTTTAAATAAAAAAAAGTAAGAAGTCATTGTTTTTTATAGGCAACTCAACCCTCCTCATTTCCCCTCATTTTCCAATATGGGACAAATAAGACTTACTTTTTGTCTTTTAAGTGTTCCTCATCTTCTCTCTTTTGTCTTTGAACTACTATTTTACTTCTTTTTTTTAATTAATTTTTTTTTTTTTTTTTCTTGCTAATTTTTTAAAATAATTATTAATTTATTATTATATTATTTTTTTTAAACGAGTAAACGTGTGATAAATGGTTTGACAGGTCTTACCCGAACACGATCCATTTATTAAATGTGTTTAGAGTGTTAACTCATTTATCACTCAAATCTACTTAATTCATGTTGATTCGTATCAGTTAATTGTATCGTATTAAATTTTGATAACTCTAGTATCGAGGAAACTTCTTATGTCATGTCGCAGGTTGCTGTTTGGCTGAAAAGGTAAGATATAAATGGACCAAACCCCAAAATCTGGCTGTCAGAATTGTTGGTACTTCCTCATTTTGGGACAGGGAGGCTCTCGCTAATTTGTGATCTAAAACAAAAATATTAAATATTTTTTTTATTTTTAATATTATTTTTTTAAAAAAATTAATTTATTTTTAATTTTTTATGTGAGAGGAAGAAAAAAGAAGAATGTGTTAAATGTTGTCGAGAAAAATATTTTAATTTTTATTTTTATTTTTTACCACTAAGAGGAAAAAAAAGTGTTTAAATATTTTTTTTATTTATAAATTTTTAATTTTATGGATTGAATTATAAGCCCAAATTATTATAATAAAAATTTGAGCTTAGGGAGGCCGATCTCTTTTTATAAACTTATTTGATCTTAAGTACACTCAAAAAATTTATTTGAAAATAAGTTCATTTTGATATCCATTGTCCAAAATACCTTCAATAGTTATATTTAGTCAAAAGTTGCTTGAAAAAACTAACAACTCTTAAATTAGAAATTACATTAGTATTAATAACTCATATCTTGAAAATTGTGCTAACATTAAAATTATGTTATATATATATATATATATATATATATATATATATATATATATATATAACAATAACACGCTCAATAAAAAAATAATAACATTAAACAATAACATACACAACAAAAAAATATTAATATCAAACAGTAACATAATCAATTAAAATTTAATATCAAACAGTAACATAATCAATTAAAATAAATACTCACATATGGTGTCACTCTATTACAATGATTAAATTTTTAATTAAATTTTTTATTGAGTATGTTACTGTTTGATGTTACTATTTTTTTGTTAAATATGTTATTGTATAATATATATATATATACACACACACACGTGTCTCAGTGTGTATGATACACAAATATCAAAAAAATATTGAAAGTCTCACATTTTAATATTTAGATATTAAAAATATAAAAACTGTCAATTAAGTATGCACTATTTATAATATGAGTAATTATGGAATATATTTTAAAAAGAATTTGAAAATATTTTAAAATGTGTACTTATGGACAACTATTTGATGAAACAGAGAACTTAAAAGAAGATAAGTTTGGAGGTGGTATTTAAAGTCAAATAAGTTTTGAAAAAGGAACCCACATCCTATTATCTTATAAAAATTTTGATTAGATTTAATTTTTTGAAATTTTTTTGTAGGATTTAAAATTTAATAGATTTAATTTTTTTTGTAAGCTAATGATATATTTAAAATTATGGGATCTAAAATCCACGCTATTTTTTTTCATACTATTGGGTCGGCCCCGTTTTGAGATGAAAATGTTATATGCTTACCAAAAAATTATCAAATGAATGTCAACGATTGAATCAGCAAGTCTAAGAAAAAATGTTAACATGATCCATTAATTCAACCATCCGCATTCACTTGGTAAATTTTTTGATAAGTATAGTATTACTCTTCTAGGATAGTATGCATCATAGAAGATATATAAATAGAGTAATGTTATTGATGCCTAAAAAATTGACATGATAATGTGTCAAGTAATAGAATTCTAATGAAGAAATTCAAGAGTTACCAATATAACAATACTATTAGACCACGTTACTATCACATCATTAAATGAACAAATTAAGTCAATTTTTTAGATTGCAATAGCATTTCTCATATTTATATGCATACATCTCGACTCAACTCAGTAGAATTTTTTTTTGCTATTTATTTAGGATCGGTTACATGAATTTAATTATTTCATTATGTTTTTACTCTACATATATATAAATTATATTTAATATTTCAAGTAGAAATTTGTATTGCATAATTATAAAAGTACAACAATGATTGAGTTGATCTAATCTTCCTTAAATATTGTCTAACTGTACAAAATCTATTCCAAAAAAAAAAAAAAAATTCCCACCCAAAAATTTCACTCCCACTAAGATCCACACCAAACTATTTTTTCTCTCTCATACCTCTCTCTTATTTAAATATTTTTTTTGAATTGTGTAAATTATTATTCAAAATATAAAATATTGCAAGATCAATAATTGATTTTTGATATTATAAAGTATTTTCAGACACGAAGATATTGCTAATATATAACATCAAATTTTAATATTTAATGGGACCTACAATCCATTCAAAGAATATACTGTTTTTGTGTGAACAGTAAAGCATGTAGCTGAAAATAAACAGTAATTTATTATTATTTTTTTTACAGAATTTTAATTTTATTAAACCAAAAAATAAGATTGTTTCTAATCGAAATTTTATCGTTTCTTTCAAATTTTTGATCCAACTTTATTATCTCCATCCATTTTGATGTTTTTCGGAAATTAGAAAAGTTCAAAAAGGATAGATATAGTCGGATCAAGGTATCAATCCCAGGCACCACACGAGATGACAGTTTTACTTGGGTACCCTTCTACTAGTTTTTAATAGCATTAAAACAATTAGCTTAATTGCATGTATAGTTATACTAAAATATATAGTTAGCCCCCTTTTTCTACTAGAACCCATTTCACTTCGAATTAGTAATGCTATCCTGATTAAAAAGATAGAGCAAAAATAAGAATCAAATGATGTGACATTATCATAACGATATAAATAATTTTATTTTTAAATATTTAAAATTTAAATTTATTTCATTATGACAATGTCACATCATTTGATTCCTATTTTTAATCTACTTTTTTTTTTTTTATCAGTGTAGCACTATTGTTAACGAACACGTTATTGCCCATCAAAATAACAAAAGATTACCAGCTTTTGTTGCATATTAATTTCTGCAGTTAGCTAAGTTTGATGGTAATTAGTTTATCATATCTTCAAATATATCTTCTCTATTTTTTGAATTTTCACTAACACCCCTCCTGTTAAATTAAAGGTCTTAACTAAAATATAATTTTATTAAATTGCTCGTGATATATTTTAGAAAAAGCTTCATTCACACCTCTTTAGATAGACATATCTTCAATAAGACTCCCTCTGTTTAATGAATTTTTTTTATGTATTAAAATTCAGGTCGATTAAAAATTTGGA